TTTTTTAAAAATAAAATTTTTATTTTATATAGGTTGACTTACAAAATTCGTATAGATTGTTTTCCACAAAATTTTAGGGCTTTTAAAATGTCTCTTAATAATCACTAGTAGTATTACTTTTCATTATATGTAGATTGGTAAATGCACAAATTAATGAGTAGTTATAATGAACAATATTTTAATTAAAAATAGTTTATATTCAACGAAGTCTTTACCGAGTCTTAAGAACAAATAACTATTTGAAGGTATTTTTTTTCTTTAGAATCTCATTTGTTTAAAAAGAAAGTTTTGCTAACTTAAATTTTAGCAAGTAAGAGTTATATATAAAATATTGTGGGGATAGTAAGCATTCCATTTGTTTCAGTTAGGTATATTCTAAACTTAGGATAGTCTAGGCTAAACTTCTTGACCTTAATAGAAAACTCACCCAAAGAAAATGAGATCTTTTCAGATGAGATATTCAGCAATTTTTTCCCAGGGACTGGAAATAGAGCCATACACCAGATGGTCAGGTTGTCAGACTGGGCTAGGTCATTTATGTGCACCCTTCTCAAAACAGACTTCACTTCTAAATATCGGTCTTTCATTTTTCTTTCTTCATTAGTAATGTGCATTCCTGAAAGAATAGAAAGTGCTTAAGTCACTGTCTTTTTTCATATATAAACTATACAGTGATGCTACATCAAGCTTGGAGACATTTCATGTAAAGTCCAGGTGCTCTAGTGTTGGGCTGCTAAGAGGTCAGTGCTTTAAATTCCCCAGATGCTCTGCAGGAGAAAGTTGAACAATCTTCTGTTAAGATTTACTGTCTCAGAAATCCAATGGAGGGTCAACATACATTAGAGACACTCAATTGCAGTGGTTTTAATTTTGCTTTGGAGCCTAAAATGATCAAACTGCAGTTCTTGTGGTGGTGGTGGTGTTATATACCATTGAGTTGACTATGACTCACAGGGACCCAAGGAACAATGAGTTTGAAGTTTCCCTATCCTTTGCTATCCTCATCATCTCTGACACATTTGAGTCCACTGCTACAATCACTGTGTCAATCTATATCACTGGGGCCTTCTATGTTTTTAATTATTTGTTCTGCTAAAATTAGTAGCAGACTAGTTATGAGACTTCTGGAGTCAACATAGTTTCAAATGCTTAACCAGCTATATAAGTCCATGATTTCTAATATTAACAGCTCCATCCATGATTTAGTTCCCCCATTCCTCTATGGCCCTTGGGTTCAGTGGTTTGCTAGAAAGTCCTACAGAGAGAGACTTAGACATGTCAGGGGAATGACTCATGTGACCGTATGTATGCAAGTCCAGTTTTGCAGAAACTAGTTAGCAATGGGCCAGGCTAGAAGCAGCTTAAAACTTAGTTCACAGGCTTGGGACTACTGTAACTGCGTTAATTTTCACACACTAACACAGTGTGGAAAGTGCTCTCTTATACTGGGTTTACAGCTGTTAATGATTTGCAAGACCATGTATTTGTAGTTAAGATTGTTGTTATATGCTGTTGAGTCGCCTGTGACTCATAGTGACTCTATGAACAGTAACTCTGAACACTATCCTATCCTGAGTCACTCTCATCATCTCTGACACATCTGCTCCTATTACCCTAGTCACTGTGTCAATCCATCTCATCCAGAGTTTTCCTCTCCTGCATTGTCCCTCCTCTCTTCCAAGTATCATGTCCTTCTCCAAGGGCTGGTTCCTCCTGGCAACATGCCCAACAAGCTACAAAACAGAGCTACAAAATCCTTGCCTCTCAAGAACAAGTTGGTTGCACCCTCTCCAAGACAAACTTGTTTGTTCTCTTGGCAGTTCATGGTATGTTCTATACTCTTCTCCAGCACCAAAACTCAAAGGTATCTGAGCTTGGGGGTAGATAAAGTAACAAATGGAAAAGCTAGAGTTCTGACACTATACTCTCTTTCATTTACCTTCCACCCTTCTAAGAATGATGTCTTTTTCCAAGGAATAGCCTTTTCTAGCAATACTCCCAAAATATAAGAGAAGAAGGTTTGCCATCTTTGCCTCCAAGAGGCATTCTGTCTACATTCCCCCCTCCTAGACATATTTATTTGTTCTATTGGCAATCTATGGGATATTCAACACTCTTCTCCAACATTACATCTCAAAGGCATCAGTTCTTCTTCTGTTATCATTATGTATCCAACTCTCAGATATATAACAAGTGATGCCTGTGTGTTGTTGTTGTTAGGTGTTGTTGAGTTCAGAGTAACTCATAGCAACCCTTGAACAAAAGGTCAGAAACCTATTAGAGTATTATGGAAAAACTATTCTCAAACAAATATGAAAACCTAGAGGAAATGGACAAATACTTAGAAATGCACAACCTACCTAAACTGACACAAACCAAAATTGAACATCTGAACAGACCCATTACAAAAGAAGAAATTGAAAAGGTAATACAACTTCCAACCAAAAAAAGCCTTGGACCAGATGGTTTTACAAGTGAATTTTATCAAACATTCAGAGAAGAACTGTCACCAATTCTATGTAAATTATTTCAGAAAATAGAAAAAGATGGAATTCTCCCAGTCTCATTCTATGAAACAAACATATCCTTGATACCAAAGCCAGGAAAGAACATCACCAAAATAGAAAACTATAGGTCAATATCTCTCATGAACATAGGTGCAAAAATCCTGAATAAAATACTTGCCAATAGAATTCAATGATAGATCAAAGAAATAATTCACTATGACCAAGTGGGATTCATAACAGGTATGCAAGGATGGTTCAACATAAGGAAAACAATTAATGTAATTCATCACATTAACAAAGCAAAAATCAAGAACCACATGATCCTATCAACTGATGCACAAAAGGCCTTTGACAAAATTCAACACCCTTTCCTGATTAAAACATCCAACAAAATAGGATTAGAGGGGAATTTCTTCAACATAGTAAAAAGTATTTATGGAAACCCAAGAGCCAACATTGTTTTCAATGGAGAGAGATTAAAGGCATTCCCTTTAAGAACAGGAACTAGGCAAGGATGCCCACTATCACCTCTCTTATTCAGTACTGTATTGGAAGTCTTAGCGATAGCAATAAGATAAGAGAAGGGAATAAAAGGTATCCAAATTGGCAAAAAGGAGGTAAAATTATCTCTCTATGCAGACGATATGATAGTATACTTAGAAAACCCTAAAGACTCAGCAAGAAAACTATTGGACTCAGTGGACCAATTCAGCAAAGTAGCAGGATACAAGATCAACATACAAAAATCAGTTGGATTTCTCTACAGTGACAAAAAGAGTTCAGAGCTAGAGCTCAGAAAAA